TAAAACGGCATTTATCCAGCTGCTGGAGGAGGAATGTGACTGCCGTCAGGCCTCTGCAGGCAAACATGGAATCTCAGGAACACGTCTGCCGCACGGAGCTGGCAGCTCTGATCACAAACTGTCAATATTCCTCAGTCCTTTTTTCCAACAGAGTCAGTGTCCGTGAGCGCAGTCCAACGGCGAGGGTCTAACGAACGAACAAAGAAACAGAAACACTTGGATCTCACAATCGTACTTTTTCAAAGTGTTGGAGTTAAGTTTACATTAGGGCTGGAACGATACACTGAATTCACGATACGATATGACTCACGATTTTTTGTTAGCGTTGCAATTTTATCACGATTTTTTTCCAATTTCTTTTCTTGTTAACGATACGATTTTATCTATGATTCGTTTTAAACGAAATAAACTCCAGACAAATTCTGACCAAATCCAACGATCCGTCATTTGTCTGAACTCTCTGTAAAATCGTTCTCTTCAATAACAGAATAGAAAAAAAATATTATTAAAAGTCCAACTCCCTTGACGTTCAGGAGAGGAGCTGGGGAGGGTTGGTTGATTCTCCTCACTTCATTTCCATTCGTGTTCTTCTCCACTTTGTCCCGTCCCGTCTTTGGTTTCCTACACAAACACAGCTGTGAATTTCAGTACCTTTTTGGTTTTATCAGTTCCTTTTGGGTTTCTGTTTTCTTTTTCTTCCCATTATTTTTCTTGTGTTGCCAACAGCAACAAATCCCAGTATTAAAACCTTGCCCAGTGACCAGTGACTTTTTGAGGTAACACAGGTGACTCCTCAGGCATTGCTGTGCAATTCATTTTTTATTTCAACCAATGGGAAATGTCACACATTTGTATTGAGTGGCAGATAGACAGAGGCAGCCTGTCAGAACGCTTGTTTGTTGCCCCCCTGTGTATGTGCTTGGGGGAAATACTAAAGTGAATCATTAGTGCCCCCTGTCAGTCACAAATTGTTTGTACCTGCCACCGCCTGTCTGTTAACACCCGCACCCCCGCATCACACACCCAGAGCACGGGTCAGAATCACTAATTGGTCAGTTTAGAGAAGAGAAACAGACCTGGTGAGAAGATCTGCAGCCGCTGTCACAAACAGGCCCCGGAACGACAATAAATGACTGTCGAGTTCGCAGCTTTATCAACTAGTCGTATGTAAATATTAACTTTTTTTTGTTTGTTTGTTTGTAGGAGTTTGTAACCTGTAGCCACACAGAGCCCCCCCCCCCCACCTCTCTTCTGATTGGCTCCTGCTGAGATTCTCTGTATTGTTTACAACTGGACACAAATTGCCTCTCAGTCTGATTTTTTTTTTTTTTTTAAATATTCATGGAACGACATTTTATATGTCACAGTAAATGTCAGGCTTGCTTGCTAACAGCCAAACAACGTATTACCGCTGCTGTCGTCGTCGTCTTCAAATTTAAACCCGTGGTGCAATTTCTGAGAGGAGCAAAGTGGAGGGAGCGCCGCTGACTTCAGGTGGGGTTGATATTTGAATCAGATAAACAAGAATCTGAAAAAAAAAAAAAAAAACGGGGACTAAAAGAAGTGGATTTCAGTCCAGTGAAATCAAACCAGACAAAGAAGCAGAGAAAGACCTGGGGTCAAAGGTCATCCTCCAGAATTCTACAAGAAGAGATTTTTTTTTTTATGTTCATATTCATCATTTCAATGCAACAACAATCAGACTCCAGTGTTGACGGTGAGGCTGTAGTTCCCACATATGCCTGTAGTCCGACCCAGATTACAAAAACAGAGGGCTTTCAAAATTAACGAATCATAATGTTAATTAATGTCATACAATAAACAGTTATTGTTCTATATGTGTATATATGAATGTGTGTTTATATCCATAAATAAAATATATATTAATATATAAATAGACCAATGTCAATATTGATATCAATTAATCACGATTAATTGTTAATTTTTAATCCACAGCTACCTTGTCATTTTCAGATTAAAAAAAAAAATATATATTTAAATCATTTTGGTGTCTAACAGTGAACCACCTCCAGAGGGAACGGGTTTTTTTAAAAAAAAACAAAAAACATTAACGAATCAAAACGTTAATGTAATACAATAAACAGTTTATTTAGTTATTATGTATATATGTATGTGTTTATATACATATATAAATAATATACTAATATATATAGACCAATGTCAATATTGATATCAATTAATCACGATTAATTGTTAATTCTTAATCCACAGCTACCTTGTCATTGTCAGATTAAAAAAAAAAAAAATTTAAATCAGATTGGTGTCTAACAGCGAACCACCTCCAGAGGGAACGGGTTTTTTAAAAAAAAAAAAAAAAAAAAAAACAGAAAATAAAGAGAGATCAAATGAGCTGTTCCCTCCGTCCTGAAACTTTCTGACTGCAGCTCGTGTAGTCCTGACATCCAAGTGAGGGAGCTGCACCAGGGCCGGACGTACCATTTGTCACTGGTCTTTTTTTTCAGTGAGTCAGCATCCCGACACGGAGCAGTGGCGGCGCGGACGGACGGACAGCAGCACCTGCAGGAGTCTGACTCCCGCTCCTCGTCCAGACGACCTCCCGGCGAGAGAGGGAGACCGAGCCTGAGCGCGTCGGCTCGTAGTTGGCCGGCCGGAGAGCCACACCCCCTCCTCCCGCCGACTGGTGGTACGATCCAGGAACGCTGCTGCTGATATAGCGGAGAGCAGCCTCAGCAGCATCACCATCCCGCGAACACACGTTCTCCTCAGCTGCGCCGACACGTAGCGCGCCGTCACCGGTGGAGCTGGCTCGTCCGCATCCCCCGAGAGAGAGAGAGAGAGAGAGAGGGAGGGAGGACGGTCTGTGTGTCCCGCACTGTCGTCCCCCATCAGCATCCGAGAGACGATCGGCGGCCACAGCATCGGCATTAGAATCACCACCATCATCATCATCATCATCATCAGGAGCAGCAGCAGCAGCAGCAGCACCGCCGCCTCTTACACACACACGCACGCACGCTCGTGCGCGCGCTCCTACAGAAGTGTCTCGTCCACGTTATATTTGAGCCGAGGAGCCGAGTGTGGAGACTGCTGTTCACGGGGAGGAGTGGATCCGTGTCTGCGTCCTTTGCGGCATTTTCTCCGGGCTGTAGGAATGGCTCTCCGTGGTAAAGGTAGGCGACACGCTCACTTCTGGCCTTTAATTTGGGGCTCACTGAGGGAGGGAGGACAGAGGGGGTGGAGGAGGAGGAGGAGGAGGGAGAGAGTGTGTGTGTGTGTGTGTGGGG